CCTGAATTAAAGTAAGCTGATAGTCTGGCCCAAATTAATCACTGACATCAGTAGAGCTAGCCCACATACCCCATTGCATTATCCATAGAAACAATTAAGACAGGGAGGCAGAGAGTTAAAAGAGCTGCTTTTAAAGCTCACACTGCAAGAAAGGCATAGACATTCACATACACCTGGAAAGCTGAGAGTCAAGAACAACTAGCAGTTACCACTAAAAGAAAGAGCTCTTTTCAGAGACCAAATATAATTACTCCCTCCCTGACTCACCATCACATGTCCAGACTTTTTAAACCATCTTTTATTGACTGTTTTCCAATTTGTTAACTCTTTTGTTTGCAATGAACTGAGATCAGAAAGGTTTTGAGGTTTGTTGGGTTTTTTTGTTTTGCTTTGGTTTTTTTGGAACACTTAATGGATATTGAATCACAATTACCTGGCAGACAGGAAAATCAATAGGTCTCTTAAAACTCATTCACTTCATTGTTTGATCCTAATGTTTGCACCCATGTCTGTAAATCACATGACAGTTGAAGCAGCACCCCTATAAAACCAGAATTTCTGAGAAAGTTCTGGTAGAGGTGGTAAAAGTGAAAATGATTGTCAAAACTCAAGCTGGAAACTGCTTTGCAGGAAGCTCTTGTCATTGTTTCTGGAACAGGGCACCAGTACAGCTCCAGATTTGATTGTGGATATCCAGAGGAGTTATATATGGTAAACACATACAACTGCTGTAAAAATAAAAAAGTTAACTTTCAAAGAATGAACTGATGCTGTCTAGTGTCCAAATGCCCCACAACAATGCATAGCACATTGTGGGGGTCTACTCTGAGCATGAACGGATTCGGTACATGTTCAATTACATTGTGAATACAAGATATCAGTCAAGCATCTGAGGTAATGACTTACATGCAGGAGGGAAATATTTTTAATACTGAATGAAACCTCAATTCATAACCCAGTCTAAAGAGTTGATCTTTGCTGTTGATGCATGGGGACATGGGTGGCTGTTGTGATATTAGGACAATGGTCAAGTCTTGAGATTGCTACTACAGGCATAATCTTCCCTAATTTTGCCTTGAGTAATGAAACACTTAGTGCAGCTACTGGTATGGTCTTGAGGAAAGTTCCTGGATCCCAAGTTAGACAAGCAAATGCAACAGCACAGAGGAGCCAGCTTTTAATACTGACAGGTACTCATTTGAGGTGGCGGGGGAGGGGAAGGGGCTTATTTTTTTGCATAAGGCCTTGATTGGTCTTCCCAGAATTCTGCAGGGGTCTCTTCTTGGCTAGAACCTAGAACTTCTGTGAAAATGAAGTTGCTCTTTCAGAGTATGAAAGGATGGATCTGGTTTCTAAATGCCCTTCAGGAATGTACAATGTGTGTTATGGGCATCTGTTACTGATAGGAATTGCATTGACTTGCTTTTCTCCCAGCTTGGTTTGCTTGCAAACACAGATGTGTGTTTCTACCACTGAGGTAATATTTCACATGTGGTGCCATCAGTTTTCTTTGCTTCAGAAAACGGAAGCCATCAGTATGCTGGCCTGATTTTAGTCTTGGGTGTGTTTAGCATCCCAGAGAAACCTGCTGACAGATTCTAACCACTGGCACAAACAGACACCCAATTCTGAGGAATAGAATTTCTTTTTGGGTGACTCACAGGCAATCTCTTTTCCTGATATTTTCAGGCAAGTGTTATTGATTATTTTACTGCTTATTTGACCCTTTGCAGTGAATCTTGCTCAGAACAAGTATTTGCAAGACATCCTAGAGTCTGGATCACAGGTATCTGGCAGACATGAAAATCAATAGCTCTGTTAAAACTACTTGCATGTCTTGTTTGATTGTCCTGTTTGCACTAACTGATATCTGAAAATCATGTGGCTCTTTGAGAGACAGCCACTGTCATCCCTATCGTTTCTGTAAAAGCTCCTGTGCATTGTCCACAATACCTCTAAAAGCCTAGTACCACCCTACCTGACCCCAGAGGCCGGATGGTTGGCACAGGGCTAGTCTGCAGGTAGCACATGGGGTTCAGTCTGTAGGATTGATCTAGTGCAGGGCCTGGCGTGCTGGATCTAGCTGTAAACCAACCTACATGCCAGCTCTGGCTGCAGCCCACACACTGGCCAGATCCCCTGCATCAGATCTGGCCACAGCCTGACCCTGCACACCGAATCTGGCCATGAACACTGTTGCGATTTGGCATATGGGTCTACATCACTAAAAAAAGAACCCTGAAATTCTGATGGAATATTGTTCAGTTGCTATCAGGGCTGCCTTGTTCTGTGCACCAACATGTAAATCTATCAAATTAAATTAAACAGAAACATTAAACTCAGATAGTTTAATTTGCTATCCAAAAATTCTGCTTAATCCCTTTGCATACAGCTGTGCTCCATCCCAGAGCCGGCTTCCCTTTAAAAGAAGAGAAAAGCAGTGAAGTCTTTATAAAGACATCTCCATCATTTGTATAATCCATTTGAAAAGTGTGGAGGGCTCCAGCTGGATGAAAGGCTTTAATTACTTCAGTGTCAAATCGGTGTTGCTTTCTTCAGACCATACCCTCACCCCACACACCATTTGGACCTGAGTCCCCTAGCAGCACTTTGACAGCTGCACTGAGGTGACAGTGTATGTTTTCTTCTGCAGGCAGATTCAAAAGCTACATTTCCATTTGTGGAGTCCATGCAGCAAGCCCATCTGTTTTACAAATTGACAGTGACCCAGAGACAGGTAGCATCTGCAATTTCTGAATCTGCAACATTTGTGGTAATAGAAAAATCAGAGTGCTCAGATTTTGAGACAGTCCTTCACATCCTATTTCCATGTGTCCGGGAGGTGCCCAGCCTGATGCTCTGCTGCTTTTCTTTAGTAAGGTCATTTCATATGGCTCCAGGGGTTATTCCTTCTTGCTTTGGGCCCCCTTTATAGGATTAATGTCAAATAAAGGGGCATTAGTGTGAATGAGAATCAGACCTGAATACCCCCGCCAAAGTGCATGGGCTGCAAACTTGGCAAGTGCAAATTGGCAAGAGGTGTAAATTCATGTGACACACCTTGCACACCCTGTCTATACCAGCCACCTTAAAATGTCCAGCTGGTATAACCTTTTTAGTGACAGGAATAATGGAAATATAGTGGAAAGCGGACACTGCAGGCCATTGGATTTTAACCCCTCATCAATTAGGTCTAAGCAGAATTAGCTAATGCAATGGTTAGATTACCAGCAGCCAAGATACATGAGTGCCCCTGCCACTGCCCACATGCAGGTGCCAGGGTGGTAAATGTCAGCAGCCCACATGGCCCTGCAGAGGACATAAATTGGTGACATCCTGCCCCAGAGAAGTCAGTGGCTTAACTCCAACTGGCACCTACTGCAGCAGCTGCCTTGTGAGAGCTGGTCATTTGTCCCTTCAAGACATTGGTTTACCTTATGTCAGTCCACAAAATGTACATAAGTGACATGGGTATAAACAAGTCATGTCCACATGTCTGGCTGTGGCTCCTAGCTGCTGGCAGTACGACTGACTGACTTCTTGTCCAGATGCTGCCAAAGCACAATGATATTTATTGTATTTTGGCCTAGTTTAGTTCCCTTTCACTTCCTCAGGGGTGAAAAAAGGCCAGTTCTTGGTGCCAGTGAAACCAATGGCAAGCTGCCATTGATTTCTGTGGGAGCAGGATGTTGCCTACAGCTCAGAGGGCACTGCAAGGCCCTTGGTTGTATGTACCATGCTAGCTCCCACCCAGCCAGGTTAGTGCTGCCTCAGTGCCTCTCTTTCCTCTGCTCTTCCACCATGCCAGCTTCCCTACAAACCCACCCTGGAGCAAATCAATAGAACGTTCTCGTGACTGCAAAGACACAGATGCTACTGACACGAGCTAAGGGTGCAGCAGGGGAATAGAGTCACAACAAGTGTCTGTCACTGCTTGAGGCTTGTTGCAGCTTGATGAGTGGGAGGTAAAGTCAGTGTTAGGAAAGTCAGAAAAGCCAGGACTCCAGGGCATCCCCCACCTACAGTGCCTTTGTCACTTGCTAACTCTGCTGCTCTCTCAGAAATCTGCTGCTGCATCTCTTGAATAAGAAATGAAGCAGTCCTTCTGTCCAGGAGTGACAGCCAGCCTGCTCCCTGCCTAGGTGACATCAGGGCAAAATGTCATGCTGGCATTGACAAAGGAGCCCTGTGAAAAGGACTTGGCATGTTTAAGCAAGGAGAAAATTCCCAGGAGATTCAGGGATAGTCAGTGCTGTAAACATGAGCTGGATGGACAGGAACAGCTGACGGCTGCATGTGGCCTCTCTGAAAGGAGCTGGTATCTCAGCACAGCTCCCAGTGGGGTAAATTGAGTGGGGGCAGCCAGGATGGCAGCCCCAGGCAACATCCCTCAGGGAGGAAGGGTGCAAAAATAAGAAGCTGCTCTCAGTGCCTCAGCAGCTGGCACTGCCCCATGTGCTGTGGCTGCCCAGAGTGCAGTGTTGCCCTGCTAGGCCTCTAATAGTTACTAATGAACTGGTATCTACATCCAAAATGGTATCTCAGCAGAGGGAGGCAGGACTAAGGAGTGAAGGCCCACTGTGTGTCTGCCCCTGCAGCTACAGATTGATGAATCACTCTTGTTTCTACTGACTTTAGACTGGCTATAGAGGTAACCATTCACAAACAAAAATGGTTCTTAACCTTGATCCCAGCTTGAACATCCCAGATAAAGATCTGGACCTTCTCTCTGTGGTAACCCAAAACCCTGAAGCAACACTCAATAGAAGGGGTTTGAAATTCAGACCAGAATTATCTGATTCAAACCCATCCATCTTTGTCAGTAAAACAGGTCTTTGAACCTTTCTTCCTCCAAGGCTCTTGGGCCAGTGTGATCTCCATATTTTATTTTATTGGATTTTCTGCTTTTGCCCTGGTGAAATAACCGTGGGTTTTAGGTAAGGTGCCCAAAACAGAGAGGTGTTTCATCAACAAGGTGGCATCACACAGGAGACTAAAAGGCCGTCTCATACTTAGGCACATCCCTCCCTTGCCGACAGGGACCTCACTCAGGGCAGATCAGTTGTAGGTGACTTATTAGAAGTGGTATATGAAATGTGGTCTCTGTAGGAGTGAGCTCTCAGGCCTCCTATCTTCTATACATAAAAGCCTGCAAGGCGATGAATGGATGAGATTAATGTAGCGAACTGGAAAATCCTGTCTAATGGTTTGGAACATGTCACTCTTGGTGTTCTCCTTCTGGTGGTCAGGCTGTGACTGCTCAGCTTTCTTGAGAGTAGTGCTGGCTTTGTCAATCACATTGAAATCACAAGGCCACCCTAATGGAAAGGACAACATATGACATTCATATAACTTATCCTCTTGAGTTCAAAGTAACTCCCTGCCTTGTACATGGGGACTCCCAAAACCAAGGCCCTCAAAATCAGGGACCACCTTGGAAAAGGTTGACACAGGAGTTGAACTTGACTGTTGTACCATGATCCAAGGCAGTTGATGGGTAGTGTACTAGACATAACACTACTATTCAGGCTACCGTCAGCAGCACACGGCAGCTCTCAATAGCAGGAGCAGCCAAACCGTTCCTACCTACTCCAAGCTGCAGTGGACAGTTCCTAATAATCACCTGCAGTAGCCTCCTTCATCCCTCCCTTCACCTGGCATAGCAGCCTGGCTATCTCCCCACTATGTCCCCATCCCTCCCCCTCCTGGAAGTGAAGCCTCATGCCCCTAGTTCCTCATCATACCTGGTAAACAGCAGTGCTGACCTTGCTCCACTGGGTGTTTAGCACAGAAGGAAGAATGATCCCTGCACTGAGCATATCTAGAGAAGACAAATGTCATCATCAACCTGTAACCTGTACTTTCAGGAGCAGCTCTCATTCATGCCAGTAACTTGTTCATGACTCGTGTGTGAGTGGCCTTTGCCTGTACCTGTCTCTGTAAGGAGAGGTCAAGGAGAAGGAATGATGAAACCCAACCAAAATCCTATATCCAACTATCCCAGCATTCTGAGGTAGCTGAAAGCTGTTCTAGCCTGAGCACAGCAGTTTGGGTCCAGCTGCTTATATTAACCCACATTGATTGAGTCCATTTGCAGCTGGCAGTGGCTGGCCCCTTTTCATCTGTGTCAGTACAGAATGGGCTGTGGAACTACCCCTCCAGAAAAGGGACATGGCACACTGTTAAGGGAGCAAGAATGGTCATTGCCATCCAAAGGAAAGAAGGGTGACTTGGTGGCTGAGGGCTGGAGGCCTGCATTTAATTTCTTCTTTGCCACAGACATCCGGTGTGATGTTGGACCTGTCATTTAATCAACCTCATTCGGATAATGGAGCAGAGACCTGCTGACATCCCTGGGGAATCATAAAGCTACAGCCATGAGAAAGAGGCAAGAAAATTGTCCATGCTTGTCAGAGGCATTTCAGTCCGCAGGGCATTTTGTCTTTCTTCTTTCATGACTTTAGAAAACATTCACTTCAAATGCGTCTACTGCTTTAAGTCTCTGTTGCCCTTTCAGCAGGTGTCATGGGGCTCATGCTGGGGTCCCCACATCTACCAGCCACCAGTCTACTCAGAATGCTATGAGCTCCCACTATGTCTCTCTGCTCTTACCATTCATGGCTGGCAGGAACCTATCCTGGAGAAGGTCCTTGATCCATCTATGGAAGGTCTGGGCCTGGAACAGAAGGAGGGAATTCAGCAAGTGCTTCTGTCACCACAGATCAGCCTGAGCTGACATCTAGACACCCCCAAAACTTGTAGGGGTAGAGAGCTATGTGTGGTGCTTAGATCCCATCTCTGAAAGCTGCAGTGATAGTCTCATGTCATAGTATACAACAGACCCTGGATTATGTATGTCTACACGTGCATTAACGCGCCATGGTTACTGAGCATTTAGTTTAGTACCTGTAATTACAGGCACTAACTAAATGTGCAGTAAACAGCACTACTGTGCAGTAGCGCCAGTGCACACCTTTAAGTGGCACTAATGTGCAGTAGACTAATTCTACTGTGCATTAGCTCAATAGCACAGCTTTTGCCATGATGTGCTAATGAACAGTAGAATTAGTCTACTGCACATTTAATGTATTGTGTAGATGCCCGCAGTGGGGATCAAAAGGAGCTGTCTGTTACAAGAGGCAACGCCACCTGGTGGTGAGAGCACTGAGCCAGGGCTCATGTGGTCTGACTGCATCTGTGCCACTGGCGCACTTGGTCCCTTGGAGTAGTCACTGCCCCATCTGTTCCTGTTTCCTTCCCTGCCCTTTTTTTGTTCATGAATTCTGTAAGTTCTGCAGGACAGTGTCTGCCACTGCCTATGTGGCTTTATAGTGCCAGACACAGAGGGTCCCAGGCTCAGCACCTCTGCCATACAACCAAATAAAGACATTTCATAAGAGGAATTTAAAAATACTTCCATGAGAAGAAAGAGTGCAAAAGCAAAGAACAACCCTGAGCTGAACCCCACAGTGGAGGAGACAGGAACACAGGGCTGGAAGGGACAATGTGAGCATCAGATTCAGTTCCTTGAGATCACAGGCTCCATGTAATTGATATTTAGCTCAAAAGAGCCCTCAAGAGCAACCACTCCCACCCCCACCCCTCACACATGCCCCCTTCATGGTCACAAAGTGTCCCCAACACCCTACACCACCTTGGGATCTTTAGGGTAAACAGACAGAATCCAAAAAAACACAAGTGTGCCACAGAAAGACAACAGAAGAGTCACAGGGCACAACCAACATCTTGAGCCCCTGCAATGGCAAGAAATTAGATAGGTAAAATATGCTCTTATGATCCTAGGAACTGGACCATGTCCCACACTGTGAATGAAGGCAAAACACTGCCAGTAGCCCCTGCCAATCTGACCTGAGGGAAAACTCCTTCCTGACCCCCTGGTGTCAGGAAGGACATAGTATGAGCAACACATGGCATGAGCAAGGCACACCAGCCCAAGACCAGAGCGGTTTTTAAGTACTACTAGAAGTGCTATTGCATCCAAGCCATTCTCAGTCTCCCACCTGTAGCAGTGATGGGCAACTAGAGCTTCAGAGGAAGGAGAAACAAAAACAAAATACAACAAACCCCAGCAGTCAAATAATGCACTCAAGTGGGGAAATAATTCTTCCTAGCTCTTGCAGGTGACGAGCAGGACTCCTGAGGCACTAGATATATACAGCATAATGCAGAGGAATGGGTATTCTAACTGTGTTAAAATCTCAGGAGGAAGAAGGATGAGAAAGGGAAGGGAACTTAATCCAGGAAGGACTGTCAGTCCAGGAAGGACTTCCAGCCTTCTCTTCTTTGGCCAGCAAACTGTACAATTCCAAACTAACACATCACAAGAGCCAGGAGACCCAAATGTTTCCTTGTAGGGTTTTTGAGACAGGTCTGAAATCTGGAACTTACATTGATGGAGCCAATAGGTGACTTATTCTGGACTATGTTGAAGCTACAGGAAAAATAAAAAGACCCAGCATGTCATTTAGTCAGGTGTAAGCTGTCAGGGAACAGCTGCTTCAGATTCTTACCACTGGGGAAATCAGCTGGGGAGAGGAACAGCTCCTTTCATGCATCACATGCCCATCACCCTCACCCACCCAACCATAGCTCAGGCCTAAATATTTCCATCTTTTGGTGCAAGGGTATAACATCTTTAAATGATATGAGAAAAAATTCCTCCAAGCATGGTATTAGAAAGGCATCTCAGGAGCCAGATACACCCTGTGACAGGAAGAGGAGAATGAAGGCACCATGGCACATTCTAGGACTGGATCTCATAATATTTGCATTGGTCACAACCATTAATGGGAATATATGTGAGTGAAGAAATGTTATAGGTAGGACAGGGCATGTTCAGGGAATGGGGTGTTGTGTGTCTGTGTGTATTTGGCATTCTGCATGTGTATGGTATTTGTCTAGGGTGAATAGGTTTGGTGAAAGCAGTTACACAGGATGAGCATCTGTGTGTGAATTAGGCACAACCTGTGTGCCTGTTAAGTGCATTTGAATCTAGGATGTAGACATGTGTTTGGGTATGTGACACTGGATGTGCTGAAACTTGAAGGGAAATTAAGATTAAGATTTATTTTAAAATGTATCAGCGGTATCTGGACATGTCAGCTGACAAAAAGAAACTGAAGCTTACATCAGCTCTAATTATCAAGTAAATCATTAGGGTTGCATCCTGAACAGCAATAACTGGGACTTTTGATTTACAGGGCTGTAGACATACTGAATTATATGTAGCAAAAGGGGCACTAAGAAAATGCCTTGAAATCACAAGGCAAAATTGATCGGGAGGGAGTCAGAAGAACTGATGTTTACTTTTCATTTATCCTGCTTTAGAAAACACTCAAGGTAGTTGTGGCTCCTGTAACTCAGGTGCTGATTGCTATACTGGGAGTTGTACAGGAGACATTGCATAACTGTGCCTGCAGTGAGGTGGGGTTTAAAGGAAAGTGTATTCCCCCTCTTACATCTGCACTGAGCTGCCCAACACTGGTTTGGTAGCTGGGAGCTGAAAGGCTGAAAATACAATGTCGGCCTCTCCTAGCAATGAATTCCTACCCTCCTTCCAGCATGCTGGCTCAGCTGGGCTAGCCTGCATCTGAGGGACTGAGACAAGGATCCAGCCTGTCCCTACCCATTTGTTTCAGATGGGGAATAATGGGTACATGTGCAGCACTCACAGCCATTGTAGTAGGTGCAGCAGTGTAAGGGTTACCATGATGCCCCCACTCCTCCCTGCAAGGGCATGTTCTGTATCATAACCTGGCTCCAATGTATTAGTGAATTAAACTCCCCGCAGGCCATGATAGAATTATTAGTCATCAGGGATTTTTAAGATCACATATTCATAACCATGTAGGTTATGGGTCAACTCAGAGCTGGGTGCAAGGTTAACATTGGCAGCTGCAGTAACTTCCACAGAGCTACACCCATTTGCACTAGTTGAGAGTGCGGCCCTGTGATCCTTTTCAGAGATTGCTAGGTACCTTTTGTTGGTAGGCTGTGACCTCCTTTGTGTGCAGACCCGCCAAGTTGGGATTTTCAAGGGGGTATATTTGGCATCCAAACTGCCTACATTCCTTTGAAAATCCAGGCCTTGCTACTGACCATTACATTCCCAGTTTCTGCTGTGGCACTAGCATGAACTCACTGAAGCTGGGGCAGAACCCGGTTTGATAAATACCTGTTCTGGGATAGAAAGATCAGCAGCTTGCCAGCAACAAGAGAAAACTGGATCCCAGAGACAACAGCCTGAAATCACAATTAAAAGGGTCAGTGACAACGGTTAACATTGCAATGGTTCAGCTCAAACTGGAGCAGAGCTCTTTCCTTCTTGAAGCCTGTCGTGGCAGGGGAGAAAGCAGGGATACTAGAATGCACATAATTTTGTTCCTAGTAGCTGTGTTTTTGGTGTTATGGGCACACTCGTCTTCAATAAAGTGTTTATTGATAGACAGGTAGGCTGTGGGTACAACAGAGGTAATGGCAGCAGTACATTCATTTTCCACTCATCTCTGTGCTACAGAGATCCTCACAGTCATGGAGTGAAATGGAATATGGCCACTGATTTATTGCCCTGCCCTTGCTGGCCTCAGTAGGGATATCTTGCCCTAAGGTTCTTTTTTCTCCTGAGATGGGTTATGTAGGCAGCTGTTCCCAGTGCCCCCGTCTACTGCTGCCACGTCACAGTGCAGGTGAGCTGAGAACAATCATGTCCCCACATGCGTGTTGCAGATTTGGGTCTTTCTGGAACTTGCAAAGCAGAGAATATGGAGGTTATAGGCTGATGATTCATTTCCAGTGCACTGAGGGGAACCACAAAAGGGTCCCAAGGGCAGCTGAACCAGCTGCACAATGTGCTAGGATATATTTAGTTGAAAGCCAAGAGAGAAAATGACAACCTTTGGGTGGGAAATCATTCAGCATTTACAGCCAGTAAGTAAATACTCTGGATAGTGGGAAATTCCCCACTTTCCACCCTCAAAAGAAGCTTGACAGAACTCCAATATTGCTGATGGCCATCTGAGGTGGACTGTAGATGTCTTATGTCAATACTTACAACTTCCACATGTAGAACAAGTTGTCTGGGTGCTAAGATCTTAATGGACAGAGTTTGCTGCACCTTGGGGCTCTGTTTCTCAAGAGAAACCAGTGGGGAGTTCATACCCTTAATTTTTACCACAAGTGGCTTAGAAGTTCGGAAGAG